GAGACAGGACCTCCTTATGTTGCCCAGGCTGGTCTCAAACTCCTGGGCTCAAGCGACCCTCCGCCTCAGCCTCCCAAAATGCTGAGATTATAGGCATGAGCCACCAAACCCAGCCTTTAAAAATTTTTGGGAGTGTCTCACTCTGTCACCCAGGCTGGAGTACAGTTATGTGATCGTAACTCACTGTAACTTTCAACTCCTGGGTTAAAACGATCTTCCTGTCTCAGCCTCCCATGTAGCTGGGACTATAGGTTTGCAACACCACACCCAACTGATTTTTTTTTTTTTTAGATGGGGGTCTCACTATGTTGCCCAGGCTGGTCTCAAATTCAAGTGATCCTCCCACTTCAGCCCCCCAAAGCACTGGGATGAGCTACTGTGCCCAGCCATGTTCTCATTTTTAATCCTGCCTCAGCCACTACCTCACTCTATAACCTCACACAAGTCACGCCCCATCTCTTAGCTTCAGTTTACTCATCTGTTAAGTGAAGGGCTAACTCCATCTCCGAATGAGGATGGCTGTTCTGAGGGATGCAGATGAAATGCTGTTACAAATCGGAGCCACTGTCAGTACAAGGGAAAGTATAGAAAGTAAAGAACCTCAGGCATAACGAAGAGATGCAGAGGTTGAGGGAGTCCACTGCAGAAGCATGCAGAATGTGCAGAGTGGGCAGCACTCTAGATGTATGAAGAAAGAAACCAGCTTTCATGGCGGGCCTGTTGTTTGCCAGCCCTGACACCAGCTGCTTGCACACATATTAGCATTGAGGTACAGTAACCCTGGCTTTGCCTCTGCTGAGCTGTCTGATTTGGGGCAAGTCAGTCACCTCCTCTGAGCCTTAGTTTCCTTGTTTTTTTTTTTTTTTGAGATGGAATTTCACTCTTGTTGCCCAGGCTGGAGAACAATGGCATGATCTTGGTTCATTGCAACTTTTGCCTACTGGGTTCAAGCAATTCTCCTGCCTCCCAAGTAGCTGGGATTACAGGCACATTCCGCCATGCCCAGCTACTTTTGTGGGGTGTTTTTTGTTTTTTTGAGACAGAGTTTCGCTCTTGTTACCCAGGCTGGAGTGCAATGGAGCAATCTCGGCTCACCGCAACCTCTGCCTCCTGGGTTCAGGCAATTCTCCTGCCTCAGCCTCCCGAGTAGCTGGGATTACAGGCGTGCATCACTGTGCCCAGCTAATTTTTTTGTATTTTTAGTAGAGACGGGGTTTCACCATGTTGGCCAGCTTGGTCCTGATCTCTTGACCTCGTGATCCACCCACCTCGGCCTCCCAAAGTGCTGGGATTACAGGTTTGAGCCACCACGCCCCGCTACTTTTGTGTTTTTAGTAGAGACAAGGTTTCACCACGTTGGCCAGCTTGGTCTTGAACTCCTGACTTCAGGTGATCCGCCCACCTAGGCCTCCCAAAATGCTGGGATTATAGGTGTGAGCCACCACACCTGGCCTTAAGCCTTAGTTTCCTTATTTGACAAACCACACAGGCCATGGGTAAGAATAAGCATCTGTGAAATTATTCGATATACCTTAAGGAGGCATTTGCACAAGAAGCCCAGTTCAGGGGAGTGCATGATGTCAGTCTCTGTGCTCAGCCGCCAAAGCTTAGTTTGGACTTCCACAGCTACCATCTCCCAGCTTTGAGTATCTCTCTGTCAGGAGAAATCAAAGAGCACAGCGTCTACCTCCTCTACAACCCACACCTACATGACTGACCTAGGAGCTAGACCACATAAATCTTGACCCAATGAGTCTTCTTCCACACCTGACTTCGAAGAGAAAAATCAATTCATCATACAAAATGTGTTGTGAGAAAGCGGGCCAAACCCATCCCCTGGGTTTTACAGAGGAGAAGCGCCAACAAGCTCCATCTTCCTGCTGAGTTTAGACTTTTCATCATCAACGCAGAGGATATCAATGCAGAGGTCAGAGATGTCTTGCAGAGGGATAAAGGCTCCTGACCATGGCAGGCTGACGGTCACTCCAAAAAGAGAGAAATGGCCCGGTGCCAGTCTCTCAGAACCCAGGCCAGGACTGCAAGCAAATCATTTAGAGGAAGAAGCCTCAAGACCCTGAAGAAGCCAAAGGCCATCTCCAAGAGAACACTCCAGCTTGCCTGGTTTCCTTCCATTCAAACCATAACCAATCTGTCCTCCCCCTTTGTAACTCCATCCCCAAACACAGTAACTCTTCCATCTACCTGGTTAGCCCCCAGCTTTCCCTCCTTATCTCTCCCTTCCTCCAGCAACTATGGAAACCTCAGCCATCCTTCACCTGATCCAAACCACCAACATCTCCATCCAGCTTTACAAGTGAGGCCAAAATCACCCACTTCCCTGACCCAGCTCTGACACTGCTACCCAGCACTCTGACACCCCGGGTCTCACTCATTTGATTTGATCCCCTTTCCTTAACAGTCCATGGCCTCTGCCTCCAATCACATGACATCCCTCCCCACACTCAGCTCAGGTCTGGTCTACAAACTAAGCATGCTCCCGACTCTTTCATGGACATCGTATAACCCCAGCATCTCAGCTACACTCCCATAAACCTTCTGGGGCCTGCCTCCCTGAGCTCTTGGTCACCCCACAAACCTGCTTGCCTGCCATACTCCAAACAGCTCCAAAACCCTCCATCTTGTTCCAGAAACCAGTCTATCTTTTCTAAGGACACTTAATATTCATTCATTCTGCAAATATGTCTTAAGCACTTACTGGGAACCAGGCAGTGTTCTAGGCACAGGAGCTGCAGCAGTGATCAGGAGCCCTCAAGCAATGTGTGTGTGGCCAAAGCACTTTTATAATTTTGGCTGCCACACCCCCAGGACTCCTCTGTATATAGTAGCGAAACGGCAAACAGTGACGACTCACTGTGTGCCAGGAGCTGGGCACAACACTGCACAATCTCACTGAACACTCACATCAACCCCATAAGGCAGATCCAACCATCATTCCATTTTACAGATGAGAAAACTGAACCAGGTAGAGATATAACAATGATTCGGCGGGAATGTGCCAGGCCCTGAGCAAAACGCTTTACCCGCCTTACCTCATTTAAACCTCATGGCAATCCCAAGAGGCAGGTTCTGAGAATTCCTCTTTTTAGATGGGAAGAAACTGACACTTACAAAGGATACTGATGATAATGAAAATAGTGAACATTTATTTCGAGCTTACTTTACCGGGTAGGACGCTGAGCACCTTTCCTACTTTATCCCATGGAATCCTCGCACCACCCAGCAAGGCACGTCCCCGCTTCTCAGATGAGGGAACTGAGGCTCAGGACGGCGAAGTAACTTGCCCAAGGTCAGCGAGAGGCAGCTGGTAGTCCCGAGACTCGAACCCAGGTCTCTCCAACTCCAGAGATCGCGCGACTTGACCAAGGTCACACGTGAAGCAGGGACAGGCGCGGTGACTGGACTCGGCGCGCTCGGCCCCTTCGCCCCGCGCCCCAACCTCCCCTCGGCGCGGCCCGGAGCCCCTCGGGGCCCCCCTGGAGCCCAGACCGCCGGGCAGCCCCGCCCGCCCGCCCCACGGAGGCCGGCACCTCCCCGCCCGCCTGCCGCCCCGAGGCCCCCGCGGGCCGCGCCCGGCAGGGCCCGCGCCGCCTCCGGCCGCTGCGGCCCTCACCGCTGTCGCCGATGATGAGCAGCTTGAAGAGGTGGTCGTAGTCCCGGGCCATGGCGGGCGGGGGCGGTGCGCGCGGGCGGGCGGGGTCGATACTGGCCTCGCGATCCGCAGCTCCCTCCGGGCTGCTCCGGCAGCGGCGGATCCACTTCCCGAACAAACAGCCGGAACTGACAGAAACACCTCCCTCCGTCCCCCTCCTCCTCCTCCTCAGCAGCCGCCGCCGCTGCCACCGCCTCCCTTCTTCCCGCCCCGCCCCGCCACTGCGCAGGCGCGGCGTCTGGCACCGCCTTGCGCAGCCGCAGCCCGAGCCGGCCGCGCCCTCGCCGCGCACGCGCCCCGGCGGAGTCTCGGCGCGTCTTTCTGGCGTGTCCTCCTGGAGCGTCGCAGCAGCTGTTCGCGGCCCTGAGAGCTGGCGGAGCGGAGCCGCTGTCAAGACCCAGCTGAAAGAAGCCTAAGGTGCCGGAGAAGCCCGGCCGTGGACGTTCTTTCTCCCTCATCTTCGAGACCCGCAAGCCCTGTGAGAGGAAATGACAAGCACGCCACGACCGTGGGGCGGGGCTCACGCGAGCTCCGAGTTTCCCGAGTCCGGGGCTGGGGACATGGAAGGTAGAGTCGCGCGAGGAATGGCCGGCACCCCGCCCCTTCCGCACCGACGCTGCCCTCGCGGAGCTGGCCCCCGCCCCGAGCCTGTGAACTGGACGCCGAGGGCGGCGGGCGGCTCCCGAGTTACGCAGAACGGGAGCTGCCGGCGGGAGCAGAGCTGCGAGGCTGTGAGCTTTGAGGGCAGCGCGGGGTCGAAATCCCATCCCAGCGCTGTGACCTCCAGAAGCCCACGTTGCCTCTTTGCTGGAGGGGAGGGAGTGGTCCAGGTTCAGAGTCTCGTGTAGCTCGGAGCCGAGCCTGGGAGCTGAATGACCCATTGTGCAAGGCGCACCTCGGAGACCGAAAGCAACCACTTCCCGGGCTTCAATTTCACACCACCTGCAGATACACATCTCAGAATCTGCGGCTGGGAAGACCTGGGCCGCCAGAAGCAAAGCATGTGCATTTTATCATCAGCCCCCGCTTTCTCGTTTTAGAGTGAGTTCCCACCTGCCCTACCTGAAACACCTGAAAGTAGTATGCCCCCACGGCCATTTTCAATGCAGAACTGCAGAGGGTTTTAAGCTCCTATTTCTTATAGCCCTATCCCTTTCCAGGCGGGTATTTGTTGGATATTTCTACTTTTCTATCAAACTTCCTTTTCTTTTGAATTTATAAAAAACAATGCCGAGAGGTTAGGTAGGAGAATCGCTTGAATCCGGGAGGCGGAGGTTGCAGTGAGCCGAGATCGTGCCATTGCACTCCAGCCTGGACAAGAGCGAAAACTCCGTCTCAAAAAAAGAAAACAAAAAAAAAATTATGCTTGTCCTTAAAATTATGTGCAGAAGTTTACTGAAAAGTACAAGTTACTATTTTTGCTTCTGAAGCACTCCTCAAGGTAAACCCTGTTAGTTTAACAGGTAACCTTAAAATGCTTGACACATACTTGTTGAATGAGTAAGTGCCCTCGGTGAATTTCCTTTGCCTGTACAATCATATGTCTGTACCTTTTTAACAGTACACTTGTATCATTTAACAGCTGCGTGCGTGGTATGGTACTCTATCTGATGGTTGTACTTAACCGCCCTGCTATTAATAGACACTCATGTTGTTTATATTTTTTGGTTATTATAAACATTGTTGCTGGGGGGATCATTGAACAACACACGGAGTGTCTGATTCAAGCCTTGAGTTGTTTTTCCGGGAGCTGAGAATCAGTGTGGTGATGTCTAAAGAGCATGAGCTTGGAATCTGAAGGTACTGGCTAGGGAGAAGAGCTGCTCATGTGCTCCTGCTAATAGAAAAGTCCCCCTTGGTCTGGAAGGTTGGGGCCATCCTCTGACTCAGCAGCTTTAGGAATTATAGGGTGAGAAGGAAGTCACCCAGCCCTGACCAGCCAGCGAGGCAGTAGGTCCTCCCAGCTCATCTTCACAGCCTTGGCTGGAGTCAGGAAGACTGGTTTCAATGTTAAGATTGGAATCCTAGCCTCCATCCCTTAAAACCTTTGTGATCTTAGATAAGTCACATCATACTATCTCAGAGCCCCTGTTTCCTCACAGAACGGTTGTTTTAGAGGTATGTTCGTAAATTACCTGGCACATGTAGGCATGAGACTGACCGTAACCAATGTTACTCAAGGTCATTTTGCACTGACTCATTCATACTTTGAGCCATTTCCTATTATAGACTATAGCACACATTTCCAACTTCCTAATAGGGCTGCAGGGTATTTTTGGGAAATAAATCAAAATTGACCATTAAAACCAGATTCCTGACTTTGCCTGGATATGCCATCTGGAAAGCAATCAGCATGAATTCTTCATTTATTTGGTAACTGTTTAATGAGTGCTTATGTGCCACAGATTGCAGAGGCCTTTTCCCTCCAGTTTACAGCCTTATCAGTTAAGACATACTCATGAGGAAATTGAAAATATAGGACAATGCAGATAGAAAGCTGTCAAATACACAGTCTAGACTTCAGAGGAGGAAAGCTATCACTTTTAGCTGTAATGATGGGGAGAAGATTTCATCATAAAGATTTCATGATGGCACTGGAATATGAGAGCTTTGAGTGTCTATTTTTAGACAGCTGCTGTCACAGCCTATGAGAATCCTCAATTTTGGCTCGGAAGGGGAAATCCCTGCAGGTCAGGGTTATGTGCCTGGCATCTCCAAATGAATCAGCACATTTTCCTCCAGAATCATTGTTACAGATTTATTTAAACTGCAGTTGGATGGTGAGTTATGTTAAACTGTCTCTCTCCTTCTCACCATATAGGTATGTAAACTTTTGTGACCTAAAGTATCACTGTGTCCTGTGATTGGAAACTGTTTCACCGCTCTGAACAGGTAACTTAGAGATGAACTTTTATACCACCACCTGTGTGCACGTTAGAAACTATTAACAATGAGGAGGCATTGAAAGTTTTTGAGCAGAGAAGCAATCTCAAAATACTATTTTAGCGAAGTAATCTAACAGGAGTATGCAGGATGGATTTCAGCTGCAGAGCTTTAAAGGTTATTGCTGAAGCCTGGGTGTAAGGTAACAACGGACAGATGCAAAAGGCAATACGCAAACAGTATAACCAGACAAAGCAGATTCAAAAAAGAAATCATGTAATTTACCTGGTAACTAAATTCATCCCTTAATTCAGTAAATATTTGCACAGTTACTGTGCTGGACCTGGAGGCTGTAACATGAACAAAACCAAGCTCCTGTCCTCATGGCATTTACAGTTTAGTGGCGGAACAAGTCATTCATTTGACAAATATTTGATGACCTACTGCATGCCAGACATTGATCTAGGAGCTGAGGATTCAGCAGTAAGTAACATTTTAAAATGTTAAAAGCTTTCTTAGCACTTCCATTCTGATGGGGAATATAGGCAACAAGTATGTCCAAGGAGAAAACTAAAGCAGGACACACTGAGGTTTGCAGAAGCAGACAGTGAAGCCATGGGGGCGGCAGGAGGTTTGACGGTGAATTAAAAGAGAAACGGTGAAACTGATGAACTATTTTTCAGGATAGTGGAAGTAGAGGATTAGCAGCCAGGGAATAATAATGAGTGAATATTCAGAGGGAGGATGGCTAAGTGCACTTCAAAGAGCTTAACTCTTGACAACAGCTGGGAAGTAAGGTGTCACCAACTGGAAGGCAAAGTGGGTAAAGGAGAGGGGGACCTCAAGGGCAGTAGTCAGGGATGAAGGTCAGTGCAGCGGAGGTTGCAGGGACCCGTGAAATCCAGATTTCGGTCAGCAACATGGATTTCAAAGCTGCTAAGTGCTAGGTGGCAAGGGAGGGAAAGTGTGCTGTGATCACCCAGGAAGGTAGCAGTAGGTGGTGAATCAGAATTCAGAGAAGGCAGGTAAACTGACCAACGGACCTTAAATTAGGAGCCAGATGGGGTACCACTCAGCATACTGATCCAAGAGGGAAGGAGAGGCTACAGCGCCTGATCTCTGATGGAAGTGGAAACGCGCCCTTTCCCCCACAACTGCAAGCCTGATGCCACACCAAGAGACTTGGCAATGGGCCTTGTACTGCCCTTATGTGGCCCCCAGAAATCTAATGAACACAAGTTCCATGATTCCAGGGACCATATCTTCATCTTCGTGTCCTCTGGAGGCCCAGTACATGGTAGGTGCTTGATGTCGAGTTAAAGTGAACCCACACATAGAACTTGAGAGTTGGAAAGAATGTCAGAAACAATTAGTTGAACCCTCTTCAGTTCACTTTTTGAGGTGTGGGCCAGATTTGGGGTCTAACTCAAGGTCAGCTTCTTCACCTGACTTCAAACAACTATTTAGTAGAATTTTCTCACTCAACTTTTGTATTATTAGATCACTGGTTTTGCAGGTGTGGTCTGAGGACCTCAGGGCTCCCTAGGTCTCTTTCAAAGGATCTGCAAAGTCAAAACATGTTCATAATACTCAGATGTGATTTGCCTTTTTCACTTTGGTTTGCTTACAAGTATAGTGTTTGCCAGAGCCTGCATGACGCGTGATATCACAGCAGGCCAAATGCAGAGCTGACATACGAATCCAGACGTTAGAGACCTGCAAAAATGTGGAACAATGCCACCTGACCGATTCTGATTCTTCTTGTTTTTGAGACAGTCACCCAGGCTGGGGCTGTAGTGGTACGATCATAGCTCACTGCAGCCTTGACCTCCCAGAATCAAGCAATCCTCCCACCTCACTTTCCTGAGTAGCTGGGACTACAGGTGCATGCACCACCATGCCTGGCTATTTTGTTGTTGTTGAGATGGAGTCTCGCTCTATCGCCCAGGCTGGAGCTGGAGTGCAGTGGCACAATCTTGGCTCACTGCATCCTCCACCGCCTGGGTTCAAGCAATTCTCCTGCCTCGGCCTCCCGAGAAGCTGGGATTACAGGCATATGCCAACACGCCCTGCTAATTTTTGTGGGTTTAGTAGAGATGGGTTTTTGCCATGTTGGCCAGGCTGGTCTGGAACTCCTGACCTCAGGTGATCTGCTCACTTCACCCTCCCAAAGTGCTGGGATTATAGGTATAAACCATCGTGCCCGGCTTTTTTTTTTTTTTTTTTTTTTTTTTTTTTTTGAGACAGAGTCTCACTCTGTCACCCAGGCTGGAGTGCAGTGGCATGATCTCAGCTCACTGCAACCTCTGCCTCCTGGGTTCAAGCAATTCTCCTGCCTCAGCCTCCCCAGTAGCTGGGATTACAGGTGTGTGCCACTATACACAGCTAATTTTTTATTTTTAGTAGAGACAAGTTTCTCCATGTTGGCCAGGCTGGTCTCAAACTCCTGACCTTGTGATTCACCTGCCTTGACCTCCCAAAGTGCTGAGATTACAGGCATAAGCCACTATGCCCAGTTTTTTTTTTTTTTAATTTTCTGTAGAGACAAGGATCTATGTTACCCAGGCTGGCCTTGAACTCCTGGCCTCAAGACATCCTCCCATTTTAGCCTCCCGAAGTGTTGGAATTATAGACGTGAGCCACTGTGCCTAGTCTGGTTTTGACTTATAAGATGCTAAATATCAATAGGTAAGATACATATACACAAGAGCTCTTTGGTGACCTCAAACAAATTTGAAAATATGAAAGGATCCCAGCTGGGCACAGTGACATATTGTAATCCCAGGAGGATGACTTAAGGCCAGGAGTTCAAGACCAGCCTGGGCAACATAGTGAGACCCTCATCTGTACAACTTTTAAAAAAATTAGCCAGACCAGGCACAGTGGCTCATGCCTGTAATCCCAGCACTTTGGGAGGCCAAGGCACGTGGATTACCTGAGGTCAGGGCTTCAACACCAGCCTGACCAATGTGGTGAAACCCCATCTCTACTAAAAATAGGGGGGGAAAAATAGCTGGGCATGGTGGTGGGCACCTGTAATCCCTGCTACTTGGGCTCGGGAGGCTGAGGCATAAGAATTGCCTGAACTTGGGAGGCGGAGGCTTCAGTGAGCCAAGATTATGCCACTACACTCCAGCCTGGGTAACAAAGTGAGACCTCTGTCTCAAACAAACAAAAAATTAGCCAGGTATGTTGGTGCATGCCTGTAGCCCTAGCTGCTCAGGAGGCTGAGGGAAGAGCATTACTTGAGCCCAGGAGTTCAAGGCTTCAGTGAGCCACGATCATACCACTTGCACTCCAGCCTGGATGACAGAGCAATACCCTACCTGTAAATAAATAAAGGAGTCTTGAGGGCAAAATATTTGTGAAATGCTGGATTCAATCCTACTGTACTCCAGCTTCCTGGCTCCCTTTTTTTTGTGGGAATCTAAGTGGTAAGAAGGATCTAAGGTAAATATATTCACAGCCCACAGCTTTCTCTTGTGGGGATTCGGGGCACAGCTCTGAGATTATTATGCACTAATCGTCCCTGTGACCAGGCTGCCATCTCACTAGAGAAATAGCTCACAGGAGGGAACCTGACAGGGCCTGGGGTATTCCATTCAGGCACAATCAGGAAGATCTCACCTAGAAATTCCACTGAGGCCATCATCCCTTGGGCCAGTTTTTCCAGTTTCCTGAGCTGTGCTGACATCAACACTCCTGTTCTAGTTCCCCAGGGGTAGGCAGCAGGGAGCCCCTCCTAACAGAACCTAGGGGCAGCTCAGAGCCACCCTGTGAAATAACTGGGCTCCACCTCTTTTGGAAAAGTAAAATCCAGCCACATGCTAAGAACCTGATTTGTTTCTTTTGTTAAATTTACCTTCCAAATTATTTTTCTAGAATCCCCCTGGGGCTTGGTGAGCAAAGAATCAATAAACGGGTTTTTCCCAGTTACACCAACATGACCTCAGAAATGTTCCTTTCCATCTGTGTCTGAACTGAACTTGACTCTTCATAAAATATGAAGGAAGCACAGATCACAGCGGCGGTCACATGCCTCCCTGCCCATGCTCAGTGGAGGCCATCCGTGTGCTGGTGTACATAATATACTCAGCGTTTTGGAGAATCACACATAGTCATCATCATCTTAGAGTTTCTCAAAAGAAATCTCATTCCCCATCATCCCAGTTTCACTCCCACCATCCAGAACCTCCTTTGTGTGCCTGGCTCTATGCAAAGTGCAGTATGTCATTCGATGCAGGAGGCAACGTGGTTAAGACTGTGCTTACTGTCAAGGTGAGGGGATGCACTCAGAGGTTAAGGAACATGCTCCAGGTCACACAGCTTAGTATTAAGCAGTGAAATTAAGGTTCCAACCTGTCTTGGAAGTCCCTGTGGCTCCACTATCCTACGCTAGAACTTGGATGCAATATCTACATTTCCTTCACAGTATTTTAGAACCTAGACCTTTTAAGTTAGATTGGTTCCTTTTTTTCCTCACTGAAGCAATTTGAAACACATCCACACAGAGCCATACATTGAGGAGAAACATTCCTAACTGCCAATTGTGTTTCAGAATCTGTCAAATAATGTCTCCAGTCCCTGCACCCAAAACTAACTCCCTGCTGCTCTCCCAAGTCCTCTGGCATCGCAGTTCTAGATAAAGAGAACGTACCTGCAGGTCTGGTTCCTTGAAGGATTGTGTGAACCATGGATTAACAATACTCCCCCTTCTTAAAATCATCTTGCTGCCCATAATTCCTGAGGCTCCCAGAGTGGTAGGTGAAGGTTTGGGAATGCTCATTTTAGAACTTTTTCAGCTTTTTCTGGATTAGTTAAGGGCTTATGACTTTGTCACTGACTTTCAGAAACAAGGAAGAGAAAGAAGGATGGTCTCCTCTGGAGAATCACTGCAAGTCTTTGAGAATAATCTGCTTTCTTTTTGAGGCGGAGCTTCGCTCATTGCCCAGGCTGTAGTATAATGGCGCGATCTTGGCTTACCGCAGCCTCTGCCTCTGGGGTTCAAGCAATTCTGCCTCAGCCTCCCCCGAGTAGCTGGGATTATTAGTATGAGGCACCACGCCTGGCTAATTTTGTATTTTTTTTTAGTAGACATGGGGTTTCTCCGTTGGTCAGGCTGGTCTTGAACTCCTTACCTCAGGTGATCCATCCACCTCGGCCTCCCAAAGTGCTGGAATTACAGGCATAAGCCACCACACCCGGCCTCAATCTGCTTTCTCTAAAAGACTTTCCCAGTCAGTGTCCTGTAAAAGGAGTGAGGTCCTCCTCCCCACAGCCTGCAGAGCAGCTGAGTAGAGCCTGGCAGGGTGGCATCCCTAGCGAGGCAGCTGGAGCCATTCACTAGTGTGCTGTACACATAGTCATTTCCTGTATGTACCTGAATGGGAAAGTTCTGGAGGCTGTGCTCTGGAGAATGAAAATACTGATGGCTAACTAGCCAGCATAGGAGAGGTAAGAGAAAGGCTAAAAATGGAGGTCTGGGAACAGACTGACATTTATTAGCCGTATGACCCTGGGCGAGTGACGTCTCTGTGCCTCAATTTCCTCCTCTGGAAAACAGTATTGAGAAACTGCTTCATATAACTGTTGGGAGGATTAAATGATACCAAACCAAATGTCATCTCTTCTAAGTACCATTAACCCCTAAGAGAAAAACTTTGACAACAATATTTAGAGCTTCTCTTCCAAATTCCTCATTGTACAAATGAGGAAACTGGACCAGAGAGATCAGATGACTTGCCCAAGGCAAAACAGCTATCAGCCTCCGGGGCAAATAGCTTTTGCTTCTCTGCTGCTAACCTCAATGTCCCCCAGGGTGCTTAGTCTGGGCTGCTGTTCTCAGGATTGCTAGGACTTTGGGCTGACAAAGTCCTTTTGGGGGCTCCCCTGGCATGTCCACAATGGCTCTTCATGGCTCACTTCCTGGGAGCTCACACCCTCCTTCCAGACTCAGAGAATGCAAACTCAGTATGCTCTGGGAGCCTTTGAGTCATCTCCGTCTGTCAGTCACCCTCCATCCATCTGAACAGAGAGCTCATCCTCCTCCAGTTTCTGGAACTGGAATCTGGTGTTTTTCCTTTGGATTTTGCTTACTGACTGTCTGATACTTCTAAGTATGTCAGGTTCCCCTGCCAGTTGCAGAAAGGGGGCTAAAAGCCAAAGGTGGAAATCAGCATCTAATCCAAGACCCTAGAGGAAACAATGAAGATGGCCTCAGAGTTTAACAGGTTTCCCAGCCCATGCCCCTCAACAGGAACCCATGCCCCATATCTCCCTACAGCTGATCGACGGAGGGGAACACATTCGCAGACAGCCTGATGGACACATGCCCTTGGCAGCTGGGAGGATGCTGCTGACCATCTGAATCCCAGAGGCAGAGAACAGTTACCATGGCTACTAAAAGTTGTAGCCATTGGCTGTTTTGGCTACGAGGACTCAGCTGACCTCTCAAGGTCCCTTCCAGCCCTGGGATTCTACAATTACCTCGAGCCAGCTGACACCATGTCTGCTGCAAGAAAACAGGACTCAGAAGTACCTTAGAGGTCACCTTGTCTTACTCATCAGAAGTGTTGCATCACAAGCCTACTTTCTACCATGGCTGCATTATTAATAACCAAAGTCTTGCTTTTTTTGGCATAGCATTTTTATACCTTTCCTAAAGTGAGTTTGCATCACTTTTTATTTCCTTTTACAGCTCAGGCCAGTAATTGTGACAGAGGTTTGTCCTGTATTGTGGCCAGGGAACAGACCAGAAAAACTTGCGTCACTAGCCCCAGTAGGGTGTGTGCCATCAGACAGAATGCGTGTGTCAGGAGCCTTCTAAGAATCAGGAGGAAGGAAGTCATTCATAAAGGAGGCAGATGCTGAAATGCAACTTTGGTTTCCTCTTGCAAGTCCTTCAACTATAGGAATGTGGCTCTTTCTTATTCACATAGGGGCTGGATTTCTCTTTACAACCTGAGTACCAGAAGCTCCCTACCTTTACAAAGTCAGAACAGAACAGGAAAGCGGCTAATTCAACCTTTTCATTGTCCACACCAAGGGAGATCACAGGCCTGGCTGCATGTCTCTCAAAACTCCACCTCAGGACAGAGAAGTCTGGAGAGATTGCTAAGACTTCTGAAAGCAGGGGAAGAGGGATGCCCAAAACTCAGAGAACTGTGAATACTTACAAAAACAGCTGCAAACCTTCCCTTATTCCTGATGCAGGAAGCTTCATATTTAATGGCTGGAGATTTTTAAAAATCTGCTTCTATCAAGATTAAATCAAAGCCTTTATTCAACATTCCTCTTTCAAACAGCCTGCACGTAAACCTATACCCCTTCCTGGACTTGGGAACTGCCAGACTTGTGGATCATTTTCATCTGACGGGTCAGATCCAACCAGGCCTCACAATATTGAAAAGCCAAGCCAAGACACACCACACTGGGCAGACGTCCGCCATCTGTGCCCCACTCAAGACCTAGGCAAAAGGTTGGTAGTGCCAGCTCTCAAACCAGAGCTCAAGCACAGAAGAGGAACCCGAAGTCTGACCCTGCTATTCTAGCTCCAGACCTAGCCATGCTAAACTGGACAGACAGTTCCTGGGCTGCCATTCGCTGAGGCGCATGCGTGTGCTTTTCCTTCTCTTCTCCACAGGAAAAGGTAAGAGATGGAGGAGGCAATTTTCAGTTGTGTGTGGGTTTGATTTAAGGCTTTGGCTGTGGTCTGCTGATATATTAAAATACTTTCTGGGAACGCCATCTTCCAAGCTCCCCATTGGAACAAATGTATTTTCAAAAATGAAAACATTGAGCAAAGATGTGGAGCGGCAATGCTGCAGGCCCGGGCCCTCATGTCAGGATGGTGTCGTCCACCTGCTCCGTGGAGTCGGCCTGGCTGGCCAGCTTCTTCAGGGACCTTCGGTTAACCTCGTTCAGCAACTCCAAACTGGCCACATCCAGGATCTTGGAGAGGGACTACAGGGAAGGATGAGCAGGAGGAAACATGGTCAGAAAATATAGCTGCCACATTCTCCAATCAGAGAAAGACAAAAATGAACGTTAACCCCAGAACTAGACACTGAGGTGGAATTTGGCAAAATAAGGGAATCAGATGGATCCAGGGAAAGCCTGTGAAAACACTCATCATGCTTTTGCTTTTCCCTTTTTTGTAGAGACAAGGTCTCACTATGTTGCCCCAGCTGGTCCTGAACTCCTGGGCTCCAGTGATCCTCCCACCTCTGCTTCCCAAAGTATTGGGATTACAGGTTAGAGTCACTTTACCCGGCCCCATCCTGCTCTTCATGAGACGTGGCAGTGCGAATTGCAGCTTTTGGGCTTTCAAGGCTGCTAGGGGCTGGGGACTTAGTGAAAAGGCCTCTGGGTTTCCATTGGGCAGCTCTCCTTGGAAATGCTCCATCTGTTTGGATGTCATGTGAGATTTTATTTGAATAAAGGGCCCTGCTCTGGAAAAAAGTCTGAAAACCATAAGAATGTGTGTTTTTGGGTAGTAGGCCAGTCACCCAAATCTTAATCTGCTCCTGAAAGCTAGCACATTCACGGTAGCAGAGAAGAGTCTGCGGTTTAAATATTTCCGTGCTGAAGAAGAGCTGAAAGACGAATGCTCACAGCACGCCCCGGCTCCCACCTGAAACACCTCTTCACCCTGCCGCATCTTGAGGAGGTTGACAATCGCCTGGTCGCTGTAGGCCCTGACCATGGTGTTCTTATCCTTGGTGTTGTCAAGAAGAGCCTTCAGGATGGGCTTGATGGCCTGGGGGTCGAGGGGAGGCAGCGGGTCCTTATTTGCCCACCAGATCATCTTCTCAGCCACCAGCCTGATGTCACTGGATGGGTTCTGCAGACACTGTGAAGAGAACCACAGACAGGCTTTTGGATAGGCACATCCAGTCTGTTCCTCAAGGCAGCCCAAATGCCCAGCCTCAACACTCTCCCTATGGCATGGACACTGACCCCACTGCTCCCGTGGGAGGGTGGCAGAGTGACTCAGCCCTGGCTCCCTGCACCCTCATCTTGTGCCACTTTCCCTTGCTCACTGCTCTCAGCCTGCATGCGTTTTTACTTCCTTGAACTGCCAGGCCTCGGGCCTGTGCCCTGGCTACTCCCACAGCCTAGGCCGTGCTTGCCCTAGATCCTCCCTAGGTTAGCTCCTTCCCATCCTGCAGTCTCAGCTCCCATGTGATCCTTCAGAGATGCCCCCTGCCAACCTTATCTATATCAGGGTCCTCCCCATGGGCTCCAGGGGTCTTGTATGACTTGTTCATCTCTACACCTTCAGGGCAGTGCCAAGTGAACAGGCGGGTGCAGAAACGGAGAGAACAGTGGGATGCCATCACAGAGCGGGCTCAATTGAATCAGGCCCCTCAGAAACTCCATGGGTTCCCAGTGCTGCAGCGGGAGGCAGTCACCCTTGGGCAAGGGTCCATGCAAAGCAGGGCATGACTCAGGGCAAGGTCCATGCACAGCAGCACTGGCACTGCATGAGACTTGGTTAGTCTCAGGCATGGCCGCATCTCATTAAAATGCACTCTGGCTCTGATTTCTGTGCACAGTAACACTTCAGAAACATGCCATGTCACATGTGCCACAGGAACCCTGCTGGCAGATTCCTTGGCTTTCCTAACTAGGGCCTGGCACACAGCACAATAACCACACCAAGAAGTGCTGGGCAAGGTGAAAAAGGGAGGCAGGAAGAGAGAGGTATTACGAGGGGAACTCAGGTCTACACCTAATTTTACAAAACTAGGGTGCCTAGAAAGAATGTCTAAAATAGCGATTTGTAACATGATTCAGACTCACAGGTCAGTTTGAGAATCTGAGAAGAAGTTGGGCTCTAGTGCAGCGTAAAGCACACATAGAAACCCCCCATTCCATCCCTAAGGGTTCAGCCATCTCCTGGAGGCCGTCCAGGGAGAAATAGCACACTAGTTGAGGGTGCATTGCTGGTGTTCTCCTCACAAGTCAGGTGTTAGGGGTCAGACACATTCTTGGCCCCCACTCACCTTAACGAACAGGCTGGAGAGTTTGGCCGGCAACTGCCCTCCGCCTGTCTTGATGTGGTATCTCATGAGAAAGCCCATGCCTCGGACCCCGCTCACTGCAATGGGGATCTGTGGAGAACAGACAGTGCTAGATGGGAGGCATCCTGCCCCCTCCCCAGAGCCAGGAGAAGCCCAGTCCCTAGTAATATCTGGGATCCTCCACCACATCACCCCCTTACCAGGGACACCATGACAGCTCTCACTCAAGACAGGTGGCCCTGGCTGAGGCAGATGAGCAGTCACTGTTTCCCAGGAACAGGGATCAAAGACCTGACCCAGAAAGGGCATCTAGATTCCTCAACCCAAATTCCTTGATTAGATGATGAAACTGGGGCCCAAAGGGATCAGGTGCTGGTCCAAGGGGACAGCGAGTTACCGAGAGGGGTAAAATTAGATCCAAGTCTCTTAACCCCCAGTGTGGGGCCCGCCCATGCTGTGTCCACAAGGCACTGGCTATGGGATACGGCCTAGGGGAGGGAAAGAACTGGTCTGGGTGCCCAAATGCCTTACCCTGTCTGCCGTGGCACTGCTCAGGATCATTTCCTGAACATCACTGCTGTATCTGCCGGCACAGAGTCTGCCAGGAGCCACGTTCACAGCCACGGAGAGTGCCAGGCTCCGGCCATGCCGAACCATCCAGTCAATGCCAGACACGTCCGCTGGGTAGAAGGACACAACTGGGGTCAACCGGCATTTTACAGCATGGAGACCAGTATGCTGATTCAGAGCACGGGGAAAGCCCAGGCCATACTCACATGGACTTCCCTGCTATCTTAAGAGAAGCTCCCCAAAGCAGCACATTAAGCAAAGTAAGGAAAGCCTGCCCATGAACCACTCCAGGCTTACAGCTGTGTTCTTTGAGGAGAGATAATCAAGGCTATGGAACCACTGCAAACTCAGTTTTGTTTGTTTGTTTGTTTGTTTTAGAGACAGGGTTTTCCTCTGTTACCCAGGCTGGAGTACAGGGGCGTGATCAAGGCTCATTGCAACCTCGAACTCCTGGGCTCAAGTAATCCTCCTGCCTCAGCCTCCTGAGTAGCTGGGACTATAGGTGAGTGCCACACCTGGCCTGGATTTTGCTTTAACTGCTGGATTCCCAAGGACAGGACAGTCCAATTGCTACAGGATCCTCTGAGGGCAGGAGAGAGATCTCTTCACTAGGGCTGAGAGGCCCAGGTCCCTGAACAGGAATTCTCCAGTGTACCTACCCAGCAAGCACTGCTGAAGAACAGCGCTAAGCTCCTCTTCAGTCAGAAAGGCACACAGTTCCCCCAGGCACCCGGCAGAGGAGACGCGAGTGTTGTCCTGACAGGCAAGAGAAGGGAGTGAGGGGTGCAGGCAACAGCACCAGCTCTGTGGGAACCAGGGCAGGCAGCTCTGGAGCCCAGAGGGATGGCAATAAAGAAGGTGGAACAAACCAACTCAGGGACTCAAGATCCAGTCCCTTCCTCTAGGTACTTGTGCTCCCCTGCCAGACTGGGACTGCCATTCACTCAAAGTGCCACTGGTACAGAGTTAAACATTACACACCCAGCACTTCACTTACTTATAGAAAACTCCACTGTGTATGCATATGGTAATCATCCTTGTAATAGCAGTAATAACTGTATTTACATAGCACCTTTCTTCTTAGGAAGGCTGAATGTTTCACATTTATTATCTCAATTACTATCCACAGCCCTGTGAGGCAGGGAGGGGCAGGAGGGGAGGCACCTGCCCACAGCCACCAGGGAAGCCGGCTAAAGACAGCCACTCTGAGCTCCTTTCTCCCACAGAGCTTGAGTCACCATGTGCCCAGAATGACCCCTGCTATCTCCCAACTGCACGAGTGCCCCACTGCCACCGAAATTACTTAGGTTCATCCTAGGAAGTCAAACTGAAGCCACTAATCAAGCCAAGGCAGATAAGGAAAGGCCAGTACTTCCTGTTCCATTCAGAGCCAGGTACACAAGCAGCCCCGTGTTCCTCCCTAGCCAGCTAACTATGGAATACCAAGAGGGGATTTTAAGTTATGTGCCTTATTAGAGGTGCCAAGTCAACATGTCCCCAAAGCAAACCACCAACCAGAGAGTCAATAACCCAAAAAGCTAATGCCAAGCTGGCACCCTGAATGCCACCTTCAATCTGAGTGGAGGTTCAGAGGGTAAGAGGATGGGCTGCCAGCAGTCTGGGCCTCTGAGCTTGAAGCGGAAGTCCAGGTGCCAAGCTAAAGCTGGCTCTGACACCCACTCTCTCCAACTTCATCTATTTTAAGCTATACTGTGGTGAAATGCAAATATGTTTCAATACTAACTTTTGCTTGTGCTGTCCATGATTCTGTAAAAGCCCTGACAGACTGTGATCAAGACAGTACACTTTCCCATCTGTCCCCACAGAGAACGCTGGGACTGGGCCGGGAGCAGTGGCTCACGTCTGTAATCCCAGCACTTTGGGAGGCCAAGGGGGGTGGGTCAGGAGTTCAAGACCAGCCTGGCCAATATGGTCACACCCCGTATCTACTAAAAATACAAAACTTAGCCGGGCGTGGTGGCGCATGCCTGTAGTCCCAGCTGCTCAGAAGGCTGAGGCAGAAGAATCACTTGAACCTAGGAGGCAGAGGTTGTTGCTATGAGCCGAGATGGCACCACTGCACTCCAGCCTGGGTGACAGAGTGAGACTCAGTCTCAGGAAAAAAAAAAAAGAAGGCTGGGGCTGTAGTCAGACAGCCAGCGCCTGGAGACCAGAACTAGGCCCTTAAGAGCCATGGGAAGTGCAGCAGCAAGTGTGTGTGGTGGTGGGGGGGGGGGCGGGGGCGGGGCACAGGAGGAGTGTGGGGGGGGCGCAGGAGGAGTGTGTGTGGGTGTGTGCATGTGTATGTCAACAAAGTGTAAAACCATGTGAGCCCAAAGGCCCTCTCCTCCTAGATTAGCTCTACAAATGTAAATTAGGCCACAACAGAGTGCTGTCTGAAAAGGGAAACAGAAAATTCTTTTCCAAAGGCTCAACTTCCTACTGGCCCCACAGTGCTGGCAACCAAAGAGTACTTGACACATGCTTCCAGAATAGGCGAGGCTGATGGAACTGGGACAGAAGCAGGAGTCCAGAGCTTCTGGTTTGGACTCTACTACGTTCTGGGTATAGCCCTGACAAGTCTCTCCCTCTAAAACAGACCTCTAAGACCTCCGACCGCTGATCCCACTACACACTAAGTTTCTTGAAGTCTGTGACCACGAGGCCTATGCACCTCTGGGACAGGCCTTTTAGCTCGCAAATGTTTCATGAACCTCTTCATTTTACAAAAGTGGAAACGAGAGAGAGGCAGACAGAGAAAGTGATTTTTTTTTTTTTCGAGATGGAGTTTTGCTCTTGTTGCCCAGGCTGGAGTGCAGTGGCGCGATCTCAACTCACTGCAACCTCCGCGTCCCAGGTTCAAGTGATACTCCT